TCTATCATCTATCTATCTATGTATCTATCTATGTATCTATCTATCTATGTATTTATGTATCTATCTATCTATCATCTATCATCTATCTATCTATGTATCTATCTATCTATGTATCTATCTATCTATGTATCTATGTATCTATCTATCTATCTATCATCTATCATCTATCTATCTGTGTCATCTTCTATGCACTGAAGCATTGTAGGGTCGGGTCTGGTGATGGAGAGGAGGAAGGGATTTCCTTTCTCATCCCTAATTACAGTTCTCTTTATTCAAATAAAATCTAACTGAATACCTTCAACAATTAAGACAAAGTGCCTTTATAAATTATCTAACTCGATTTCATGTTATAGCTTGGTCTGTCACATCGCTTCCACTGCATCCGTAGCTGACCGGTGCAGAGCACGCAGAAGGAGGCTTTGGTGGTGGAGCAGAGAAGCTGACACAGAGCCGAGCCAGCGGCTTACATTTGTTAACTTTTAGATCTTCTGAGAGAAGGTCCCCGGAGAAGGACATCATGCTTGGTAGAGGGGCAGCAAAAATAAAAGGCCCTCAGAGAGACGGATGGACACAGTGGCTGCAACAATGGGCTTAACTATGCACGAGCGTCCATTGTGAGGATGGCGCAGGATGGGGCAGGGCTTTGCTCCATTGTGCGCAGGGTTGCTACTGGCTGAAACCAACTTGGTGGCACGAGCACCAACAACAGGCCCTCTGTGGATGCTCGTTAGAAAGGAGAGTAAGGACAAGCATTAGGAAGTGAGGTGTGGACAAATTTCCAGTGTTCAAGTTGGACCGCATAATAGCTGTGGACAGCTGGTTTATTCTTGCAAAAAGAGGAGTGTGTTAGCACATCCCTTTGAAGGCCATCTTTCCTTCCATGGATCTACCTTGGTTATCTAATCAAATATTCAAGTAGCACATAAGATGCCTTTTTTGTAACCAGAGAATTACATCCTACTTGCTATGTTTGAAACATGAAGTGAATTCATAATGATATTCTGAGGGAAAAAGATCTATTTATCTTGTACATGCCTGTATCCTAAATTAATGCATATTTGTTAAATGTGTGAGTAAAAATATAACAAAAAGATGGAAAGCACTTGCCATGGCTTAAAAAAATTATTTTTAGTGCAAATTAGTGCACTAAATTTTTTAGTGCTTTTGTTTATTAATGGACATATAAACTTTACAGACCCATCTCTCAAAATCTCACTGTTTCCCCAGATAATTATGCAATCATATAATTGAAAGAACCAGCCCCCTTTTGAATTATCTTCTCCAGTGGGTTTACGTCTCAGAAAATTGGCTTCATTTGCATCAAGCACCACATTAAAAGTCCAGCTTCTTACCCAAAATTGGGCATTTATAGATAACCTATGGCCATGCCGCAAGCAGAAAAGGAGAATCAGCTTCATTTAAGTAGCATTTCTTAAGTTATAAACAGATTTTATTGTCTATGTTGAATTTTAAATTCATATTTGAATTTATAGGAACACTCACTATTTGATTGCAGTCATTCATACTGTTTATATGACTTTCTTTTTTCCCCTTTAGATTCTGTATACTGGAATTGTTATTTATGCCCCTGCCCTGGCTTTGAATCAAGGTACATTTTGAGTTCAATGATATAGCTAATCTTCTGGGGTTCAACATTAACACCTTTATCCTCCCTTTGGGGAGCTAGGGAGGGGAGGAATGCACCCAGGAACTTTCCACAGCTTTATGAGGGGCTGGGCTGGGTCAAAGGTCTAGGGGACTTTTTTTTTTTTTGCTTTCCTGTATTGATAGCTCCAAAAGGTTTCTCTGGGCTGACTCCCCCTCTGGGATTCTCTGGGATGTGCCTGCCAGCCCGCGCCCCACCGCCCCTATGCCTGCAGAATGAGCTACCTCTGCAGGTGAAAGCCAGAATTATTGTGCTTTCTCCTTAGGACTGGGAGCCCATCTCCAAAAGCCTTTTGTGGATTTCTGCTCAGAGACTTCGAACAATCTGGCAGAGAGGTTTTTTTGTAGACAAAGAGGGCGAGAGAAGAGGAGAGGGGGAGAGGAGGAGGGAGGGAGAAGGGAGAGAGGGGGAGAAGGAGAGAGAGAGCGTAAAGAGAGAGAGATTGATTGAGACCTGGTGGTGTAGTAGCTGCGTTGGACTGCTAACTGCTAACTGCAAGGTCAGAAGTTGGAAACCTGCTCTGAGGGAGAAAGAGGAGGCTTTCTACTCCCTGAGGTGTGACCGTCTAGGAACCCCACAGGGGCAGTTCTATCCTGCGCATGAATCAGAATCGTGTCAACGCCAGGGAGTTTGAGACAGACTCAGCTATAAAGCTGGGCGCTCAGTCAGGCCAAGTTGCGTGTTAGTCTTTCGTACTCGAAAGGCTTTGGGGAAACCCCGTGTCCTTTGAATTCTTCTCCTTTAGAAATGAGTTTCTCTCCAATACTTCCTTGTATCATGGACAGATGGACTCTGCTGGGAAGAATGTGGTGCAATTCTTGGAACTAATATAATAGGAGGAAAATTGCTTGCTCTGCTCGTGTTCCAATTGCATTCGTAATAGGTATGATAGCAGTCTTCACCTTATTAAAACAAAACAAAACAAAACTTTTTGCTGTAAATCGGTTGAAGGTAGGCAGCACAGATGAATTTTCCATGCAACAAGCCATTCACATTTTATTTTATCTCCTGGATTATCATCCCACGATGTATTGTCACTCCTTCCACTTCCTCCCGGCGTTTTCTGTCGCCATTTTTTTCTTTTTTCCCAGCCCATTTGAATTTTGCCCTTGGGCAAATGCTGCCGCTTTTTAAAAAAATCTCAAATGGCTGGCTTTTCTAAGGTGTGCATACCTTCCTAGTGTTATTGTTTGCCTTGTAGGCTTGTCTGTTATTTGGCTGAAAACTGAGCTACGGGCGTGAGTTCATTTCCAGACCTGAAGGGTGACCAAAATGCTAAAGTGCAACGGAATCCTTATTAAGAGAGGCTCTGCTTGCACCTCATGCTCCTGATTTCTGAACGGCCTGTATGTCCCAGGTCCACATCATCAACATCATAAATGGATCACTTTGTATGTCGAGAACTTGAGTCATAAACTGCATAAGTTACCTATTGACTTTAAGGTGTAGTTGGCGATGATAGCTTTAGGTTGCATAGTGCAATTCTGGGCACAATCAGAGCACCGCTTCAATCTGTGAAGAAATCAAGAGCTCTGTTCTTATTGACCTTGCACCACTCCCTTCAAACAAGTGAGATTACAGTTTGACGATGGAAAAAGCAGGTGAGCATTTTATGTCAGACAAGGAAGTAGGCACAAGCATCGATCAACAACACTGGCCATGGATCAGATGCTCGGTAAAAACTTGTTTAGCCGAGTTGGAACTTTGTATTCTCTAAAGCTAATCTTCCTGAGTTTTTTTTTTTAATTTATGGAAATTTTGAAACATATGCAAGAGACTACTGTATTGAAACCCTTTTGTACTCATCAGCTCGGAATCAACTACGTGGCAATGCGTTTGTTGGTTTGTTTTCTCTTGTTAATGGGCATTTGAGTTGTTTCCAGTTTTAGGCTATTATGAATTAATGCTGCTAAAAACATGCTTTTATAGGCTTGTGCTCTTTTTTTAACACCTGTTTCATTTATAGCGGCTGGATGCCTAGAAACAGTACCAGGTTAAACATGTCTGTTCCAGTTCATAGAGCATATATGTAAGAAATTGAAAAGAAACTGCCAAATTGTTTCTCAAACATGAATCTTCTCAAATAGTTGTGTGATTTTAAATGCCTATCCCACAGTTTCAGTTATTTCATTTTGAGTTTTCCCCAATATTAGTTGAATAACAACAACAGCTGGCATGAACTGCTATTTTAGTGCAGTTTTAATTGATATTGAGCTTACTAGCAAAAGACAAGTGACAAACAAGTAATCAAATAAAATGTGGCAAAAGACTTAAACAGACATTTTATAAGGCAAATAATCCTCCAGTCCATTTCCCCAAGCTTTTCTAAAATTCTCAGTGATGTTTGATC